CCTGCGGTGGGGAGAGGCAGACCACCCCGACTCCGCAGCAGCAGGGAGGCCCCACACCCCAGACCGCAGCCGGACGGCCAACTCCTCCTACTAGCCCTCCCGCTCCAGCAGGCCGCAGAGAATGGGGGTGGGAGAAGACTCCAAACTGTCCGAGAAGCTTCTCATCCGAGAAGTTTCACCGAGAAGCTTCTCGGTGAAACGTCTTGAAGTAACTTAAAGAAGTCCAGTCCTTATTGTGGTCATACGTGTGGACATACAGCTGCATGAGCCAATGTATATACTGCTTTGTAACTTATGTGTGAACCAGATAAACGTCAGCACATCGCTGTATCCTCTTCTACTCTCACAGATGTTTTCAGACAGCCATGAAGTGACATTGCCGTGGTGTTTTCTGCACATGTCTTGCATGTACACAAGTGGGCCTGCTGAGTTTTGCAGTTTAGCAGCCATGGCCTATGACAGATATATCTCAATCTGTCATCCATTACGCTATAATGTCATTATGAACACAGAGAGAGTGTTTTTCATGATTCTCTTCGTGTGGATATATTCATTCCTTAGTGTAATACTATCATTCTCATTCATCTTCAGTTTGAAGTTTTGTGGAACTATTATTGAAAATGTGTATTGTAACCACAGATTAATACTTAGACTTTCATGTTTCATTTCAGTCCATAGCTTTTTATCTGATATATTCTTTCTCATTGTGAGCTTTTTCATACCATTCACTCTCATTTCAGTCTCTTATGTGAAAATCTTGGCAGTTTGTCGAAAAACATCCACAGAAAACAAGCAGAAAGCTGCGACTACTTGTGCCCCTCAGATTGTCTCTGTGTCAAACCTGTTTGTTGGCTCAATTTTTCACTCTATTGATTCCAACTTTATAATCACTCAGGTACCAAATGAAGCCCGCATAATTTTACCTATGTATATCCTCATTTTTCAACCAATGCTCACCCCGTTTCTCTATGGATTCAAGTTGCCAAAGATAAGGCACTCATGCAAAAGGCTTCTTTTGCATGAGAAAATCAATAGCTTTGTTTTAGAGCATCTCTGCTCTTTGGGAGACATTCATCAGTCATCTTATAGATAATACGAAACAAAGATATTAAAAATAAATATGAGCATATGCAAGAATTGTGTTTTGTTGTGCAATTTATTTACTTCGAAAAATAGCTATTGAAGTGTCTGTCTAAAAACACACACACATATATACACACAGAGACATATACATAAATTTTATACATACAGTCCTGATCAAAGGTTTAAGACCACTTGTAAAATGGCAAAAAATCATAGTTTGCATGGTTGGATCTTAACAAGGTTCCAAGTAGCTTCAACATTCAACATTAAGAAATGGAACTGAGACAAAAAAAAATTTGCACATGCAATTTATTGAAACAACATCTCAGATGGCATCTGAGTCTGAAGGGCTTCCAAAACAAAAAACATCTTCAAAGGCCTCGTCTCTTTGAATGCCACAGAACTGTTCGTTTGGATTTTGCAAGAGAGCACCAAACATGGGACATTGACAGGTGAATGAAAGTTTTTCCAACAGGACAACGCCACAGTACACATACCAGCGGCACAAGGGGCTTCTTCCAGGAGAATAACATCACTCTTTTGGACCATCTTGCATCCATCCAGAAGTGCTTTAGTGACATAGATATATTACAATAAATATTAGCAATAATATAGATATGTAAATATATTACAGAAATGGGTCTATTATGGTATGTTATAA